AATCACCCACAAAGATCTTTTAATACCCCTACACATTGTGGCATTATGGAAAGTTCTAAACAAATATATTTTTAACAAAAAAATTACTAACACTAACACTATTCTTCTAATGGTTATGAAGCATCATTATCTTCCTTTTGTAATCTTAATTTTTGTGAAAGCTTATCAAAAGCTGGTAGTAGTAATAGTAGAATCTATAGTACTAACCACAGGCTAGATAGTATTGAAGATATCTTGTATAACATTGACAAATCATTTGACCTCCATGTACCAATTACCTAAATTAATATAATTCTCTCTTTTCTATATATACTAGATAATGTTGTCCGTGCTATGCACGGGCCCAATAATATAAATGGTATATTTTGGGGTTAATAACCGAATTTTTGAAGCGATTGTTTGCGTGGATAAAGGAATAAGTTTTTTTTATCACAAACCTGTACTTTCTTTGACGCTATTTAAGGCATAATAAGAGTACCCACATACAACATTTTTGAAATATTTTATGTTGTCAATTATCATGATTTATAATTGTTTGTGTGGATAAAGGAATAAGTTTTTTTATTACAAAACTGTACTTTCTTTGACGCTATTTAAGGCATAATAAGACTACCCACATGCAACATTTTAAAATTTTTTTATGTTGTCAATTATCATGATTTATAGTATTTTTACGCAATTTTTAAATATAAAAATAAAATAAAATAAGACAAATAAATTAAAATGGACCCAATATATGTTATTTTTGTTGTCTCAATTTATGTGACACAAATGAAATTTGGAGAGTCATCCAAATTTTCATAATCTTTTTTAAAATGTTTGAAGTTATTAATTATTGTGATTTATAATATTTTTATGTAACTTTCAAATAACCTATATTACTGGTCACTTTGTCCTAATTTATGTGATATGGATAAAATTACAAAATTAACCCTTTTAAAATGTCTTTCAGATATTTTAAGTTGTTAATTATTATTATTTATAATACTTTTTTGGTAATATTAAAATGATATTTGTTATTTTTATGTCCTTAATGCTTTTTAAGTCATTTGTAAATGATATATGTTGCTTCTTTGATTGGGACTTTTCCATTTGTGTGAGATATATATATATATACACACACACACATATCGTGCTATGCATGGCCCAATAATATAAATGGTATGTTTTGGGGTTAATAACCGTAGTTTTTGAAGCAATTGTTTGCGTGGATAAAGGAATTAAGTTTTTTTTTATCACAAACCTGTACTTTCTTTGACGCTATTTAAGGCATAATAAGACTACCCACATGCAACATTTTATGTTGTCAATTATCATGATTTATAGTATTTTTACGATAGATTCACTTAAAGAATCAGTGCAATTTTTTGTATTTTTTTTTCAAAACATATTTTATCTTGTCAATTATCATGATTTATAGTATTTTTACGCAATTTTTAAATATAAAAAAAATAAGACAAATAAATTAAAATGGACCCAATATATGTTATTTTTGTTGTCTCAATTTATGTGACACAAATGAAATTTGGAGAGTCATCCAAATTTTCATATTTTTTAAATGTTTGAAGTTATTAATTATTGTGATTTATAATATTTTTATGTAACTTTGAAATAATGTACATCACTGGTGACTTTGTCCTAATTTATGTAATATGATAAATACAAATTAACCCTTTTAAAATGTCTTTAAGATATTTTAAGTCGTTAATTATTATTATTTATAATACTTTTTGGTAATATTAAAATGATATGTGTTATTTTTAAATATTTTAAAGTTTTTTAAGTCATTTGTAAATGATATATGTTGCTTCCTTGATTTAGACTTTTCCATTTGTGATATATATATTTATA